AGGCCACATTTTCATCTTGTCTTATTGGGTAAATTAAACATCAATTTGTCTACTAATTCTATTTTTTATTCATTAAGTTTATTGTTGCATTTTAGGTTTACAACGTGATGACGTTCATCATTGGGAATTTGTACCTTTATATACTGTATCTTCGCTCTTATTTTCCCCATTCAACCCCTTCACCCCCCCACTTACAAAGACTTTGTTTCCCTTTTTTTCCTTTTCACATATTTATTCCTCTCCTTCTTTCCTTTCACTTAGTGCTCCCACTTTCCCTTGGCCTTCTCCTTCCCTTTGGATGTTTTCTTCCTATTTCAATGAACTTCAGAAATTAGTGTCTTTTCAGGAATGTGCCCAATTATTTTCAAATTAATGGGCACACATTTGTTCATGGTATGTCCTTTAATATTCACGTGTGTGTGATTTCTAATATGTTTTTGCCTCATTTCTGAGTTTGGTAATTTATTCATTCCTTTGTGTTCTGGTAATTCTGGCTTAAATATTTATTTAACTTCTATAGAATTTTTAAAGTTTTGTGTTTTTTTGTTTTCATTTTGTATCCTAATTTTGATTTTCATTTTGATGTTTTTTGTTCCTTCTGTCTGTTTTTTATTTGTCTCATTTTTTTCCTTGTCATTGTTTTATTGCTATTTTACTAGTAAAATCACTGGCACCGATATTCATTTAAATTACAATAAAAGAACATTTGATAAATTTCAAAGCTATATTCTCATAATTTCATAATTTCTCATATTTCATTTAATCTATTGTTTGGCCAATGATCATTTTAGAAACATGTTACAATACTTAGTTTTGAAATATTTCTAATATTCTTCTATGTTTTGATGTCTTGAATAATATTGTTGTTTATATCTATAATACCTTTGCTGATTTTCAACTATGTTTTCATGATTAAGAGAAAACTTAAAATATCTTTAACAATTTGTTGTTCTTTTTTTGCACAGCAAATCTCTGTGTCTCCATCATTTGCTAGTATCCAGCATCCAAAATAGTTTTTTGAGGAATCTCCACACTGAGTTCCACAGTGGTTGATCCAGTCTACTCTCCCACCAACAGTGGGAAAGGGTTCCTGTCTCCCCACAGCCCCGATGACATCAACCAATGAATGGATAAACATTATGTCATTTTTGTATGCAATAAACTACTAGTCTGCCGTAAAGAAGGACAGCTTGATGCACCTTGAGACCATGCTCTTCAGTGAAGTAAACTGGACACACACATGTAAATACTGCGCTGTTTCTCTGGTGTGAGAAACCAAAAGTGAAAAGAAGGAGTACAGTGGAAAATAGATATTGGGAAATGGTAAGAAAATGTGAAGAGGAAGAAGAATGGAGAGAAGGAGAAAGGAACGAAGGACAAATTTGAAAATGGACAAAATGGAAGCCAAGCTTTTGTACCTAGGGAGCAGAGGAAGCGTGAGGGGAAGGGAGGAATGGGAAAAAGGGAGGGGGCGGGAAGTACCATGCATAGGTGCAAATTCCCTGTAATGAAGGTTATTATTGTGCACCTCTAAAATATACCAGCAAGTGTTTTCTTAGTAAAAAAGTAAAGGGTATTTGCCAAAATCCAAGACAGTTGACATATTAAATGTCCCCAGAAATATATAACTCAGTTTTGAGTTTCTCTTTAATGTCAGTTACATAACATTAAGTTTATCAGGTGATTTCAAAAAAAGATATGATAGTGACTCAACTTTATTTGAGTCAATTGAACTGAATCTTCCGAAGATAATAGCCAAATCTGTATATATGGCATGCTTTTACAATAAAATTTAGAAATACTATTTTGTATAATTTTCATTAATTGCACTAATATGCCAATTAAATAAGCTACATCAGTGTTTGAGCTGCTGTGTTTTAATTTACAGGTGTGTTAATGAACTACAGTTCATATTTACTTTCATAATTATGAGAGCTGAAAATGACAAGTTGCTCTATTCCATTTACTAGAAACTGGCTCACCACTAATAGTAATTGCCCCAATCTTCTGTGTTTTTCAAAATTCACATTTTAAAAGCTTGAATCATACTGAAGATGCAATTATATTTTTGCTGTTATCTGATAATTGTACTTGTTTTCAAGCAATACTTTGTCTTGAAAAATTCTGTGAATCAAGGGTTGATAATATTTGGTTTCATTCAAAAAATTAAACGTGTACCACACAGCACATGAAGCACAAATTGTTATCACCAAATCAAAGAAATCTGTGCTTTCCTACAGGTAGATTGACTTTTGAAAATATAAACGCAGTGATTTAAAATTACAGGGACTTAGGGTTAAGTTCTTGGTTGAAAGATACCTCAAAAGTAGTTTGTATCACACTATTTGAATATAAAAGATTTTAGTGGCTGGATGCCCTACGATCTGACCTACCCATATCCTTCACACCTACTCAGACCCTCACACTCTATATGCTTATATTAAACATTTAAAATCTTGGTGAGCCATACATGAGGAGATGTGTCTTCTGTCTGTGCAGGGACACATTTGATAATTTAAACTGCAACGAAAACAAATGATATTCTCCAAGAAAGTTTGCAGGCAGGAATGTGCATTTAGTCAAAGACATCTATCGACCCGAAACGCCAGGTGTCTGGTCTGGCTCCATTGTTGGTGAACACGGTATACTAACAAGCAGCTTTTCCCTGGACCCTTCACTGTGACTGGGATCATCCTGTCCTGAAGAATCATGTGTCAATGAAAAATTTAACTGCATCAGAAAGGAATTTCATTCAGGCCTAAATTAATCCCAATTTTTTAGCCTGTCATGGTGGCACAGATAGCACTGGAGAGAATGAGTATCGTGGTGTTTAAGGTCAACCTGAAGTACACGGTGAGCTTGAAGCCTTCTAGAACTACATAGCGAGACCATATCTCATAGACAAATCAGCTAATAAACAACTAAATATGTAAACGATAGCTAAAAGTTGTGTAATGCCCCTCTCCCCTTTTACAAGCCCCACTACCTCATTCTTGCACAAAGCACCTATATTCATATCTGGGTTAGAAAGCATCTCATTTCCTGTTTTCGTCTCTTACAGAACTAAATTTGAATGATCCTATCTAAAATCTTTCCTCGTTTCATTCCCAGATCATCTGCTTCTTGTGTCTGGTCTGAAATCCCCGTTTCCCTCCTGTCTGCAGCCACACCACACACGCTTCACAACACTTCTATTTGTCCTCTAGATGTCCCTTCCATTTCACGAGGAACAAGGCATTCTCTATCGCTCTGTAAGAGTCTCTCAACATTAATCTTAAGCTTTTCTCATTTTCTCAGGCGCTCTTATATCACTTCTTATTAAAGCAACTTCTCCTTGAAGGCTCATTCTTACTACAGAATGAGATTACAAGCTTCATGAAGATTTACTCCCAGTTGCACCAGTAGAAGTTGAGACCAAAATCTGTATACAATAGGATGGCTCATGAAAATATGTGCTTTTAGTAGTTAGGGACAAGCGTACAAGTACTAAGTTTAGACATGAACTGCATAGGAATATTTCTGGATTAATATAAGTGTAAAACTATTGTATAATTATATGAGTTTCTAAACCAAAAATTCAATAAGCATATAACAAACACTATGATACGAAAATAGTTTCTTACTGTTTATATCATTAAATTTGATTTCTGAAAAAGTCTATTTCTTCACAAGGTCCTTAAGCTGCATATCTCTAACAATATTCTACCTTATCACATTTCCAAATTAGCTAAGGCATCTGCTTTTGTGCTGGAAACATTTTTATCTATATAGCCTAAATAGTATTAGCTCTATATAACTGATTGTTCAATATAGCATAACTCCTCCAGTTAGAAGGCAGACCAAATATATTGCATAGTTTACATCTACAAAAATCTTTCTTCCCAATCCTGTCTACTAGAAATATTAAAGACATGGATGTTAGAATGTTGGACTATTATTTCTATAACCTTTAACCTAAGTATAATTCCATAACATCTTTTATTTTTCTCCAGTATATGCTCAACAAAAGATACACCTAGGGATAATGCCTTATAATATCACCAAGTTATTGAAGTAATGTAAAAACTATTCAAAAAACAGAAAAATATGCATTAATTTGAATATTATAATATATTTGAATTCTGTTTTTTGTATTAACTATAAAAGGTTGGATTTGAAACCCTCCTATATTATATTTATATTTTATTTCACTTTAGCAGTCTAGGATCCTGCTGTGCCAAATCTTGTTTGATTAGTTTTACAATCAGCACTAGCCAGAGAAAATAACTTGATGACATAGTATGATAGAAAAACATGTTTAAACATTCATTGTTCCTGTACGGAAAACTGAAACTTTCCACTCTCAGCATGCATAGTCCACTGTAATTTTCTTTCCTTCAGCTTCCTTTCTAAAATTAGAGGCATTTTATTTACTTACCCTTTTGGGGGGTTGAAAAACTCAACATTATTGTACACAAAATCATATGATTCTTTGGGAAAACATAGTATTGGTCCGAAAGTTCTAACTCGTAATGTATTTTGACTTCTAGAAGTTTACAAACGAGCACTTCAATTTGTTGACAGTATCTCAAAGACCTTGAGGAGAATACTTCCTCAGCCAGTTTCCCTTAATGCTGTTTTGTGCCATAGATAACTTTGCGCCTGGCAAATGATCTTCTTGGTATAATATTTTAAAATACATACGTAATATAAAATTACAAGAGAAATCCATGACACTGAAACAAAATTGTTTCCAAATATGCTCTGTGAGAAAGTCTGTGTACCCGATGATAAACTTAGAAAATTTACTGCCATTGCACTTGGCCATGAAAATCATCGACACAGTGAAAAGTTCGCACAATCGCACTTTAAATATGTTACGTAACTCAAAATGAAGGGGACTGCAAGATATATTTTTAATACAATTGTTTAAACCACTTGGCAAAGTGACTATTTAGAAAGGTATTCTGGAGATGGAAAAACAGAAGGACGAGACGCTGTTAGGATAAACTCATTCTTACCTTTATGGCCGTGGATGCGATTTGAATGTGGTGAAGCCTCCGAAGGGTGCTGTCTCTGTCAATGAAGTAGGAAGCAGCTAGTTGATGCAGGGTTTCCAGAGAGACAGAAGAGCTGTTGGTGCTGGAATCACCCCCGTCAGATCGCTTGCTCAGCTTCCGCTTGTCCACAAAAATTGTGAGTGACTCCTCTCCTGCATTAATAATATTGAACATTATTCCATTTTTCACAGACATTAGGTTTTCACTTACTTGTAGGCGAGAATACTTACAGGAGTGTAACGAAGCAAAAGAGTGAATAACACCAAAATTTCAGAGTTCCATCGTTTCTCATTTATTAATAATTTCTCCAGTGACTAGATTTTATTTTTTTCTGTTTTTTATTGTCACATTTTAGGTATATGGGACAGTTACATTCATCATTGGCATCTTGTACCTTTACATGACAGGTGTTGGTTCTTATTTTTTCCCAATACACCTAGCTTCCCTTCACCCCCGCCTCCCTTCCCTATTTACAAAGACCTTGTTTCCATAATTTTCTTTTTCTCATATTTTTTATTTTCCCTTCTTACTTTTCTCCTACCCCTCCCACTTCCCTTACACCTTAAGAACTTTTTTCCTGTTACACAATATCAATTATACATTTTGATCCTTATTTACACTTTTAGTGTTTCACACTAGAGAAACTATATGGTATTTATACATGTGTGTCCTATTAATTTCACTTAAATGTATGGTCTCAATGCACATCTACCTAGCCATAAATGTCTCTAGTTTAATCATTCTTTATGGCTGAGTAGTACTACATTTTATTTTTAAAAAAACACTTCTTTATCCAGTATCCAGTTGATGTGCAATTTTTTAAATATACATTTAGTGAACTTTGAATATTGAGCATGTGTAAAACAATTTATTTGGATTTCATCGAATGGTGTGTGTGGTTTGGCTTAATTAACACTCAAATAGCCAAAAATAGATGTATATTAGTAGAGTTGAATATAATTATATTAACACAGAAATTTTAAAAACACAGAACAACGTATCAAAATGGAAACATGAGGGATGGGGATTTAGCTTAGTGGTTCAGTGGCCTGCCTTGTAAGCCCAAGGACTTGAGTTCAATCCACGGTAAAAAAAAAAAAAAAAACATACCAAATCATAAGCAGTCTTCAGTTGTATGTTTAAAATGAAGTGAAAGTACAATTATGGATAGATGATTAAGCAATTACATGTTAGTAATAAATTCAGAAATTCTCTACATGTGATGTATTAAATATTTTATATTAATAAGCTCTACGAAACAGTATAAACTCCATGGAAGATTAAAAAATGGCAATGGATTTTTTTAATGATTAAATTTAAAGTATGCTATACAGAAGTTGTGATTGTCAGTGTTCAAATGCTAATGCAAATGCATGTCATTTGAGTTAGACATAAAAAACCTGTTATCCTCAGACTTCCATATTTTTAGATATTCATCTTCCACACAGTTGTCAAACTTCTGCTTTTTCTCTTTCTCAGGAATGCATCTGTTTTTGTAGGCATGTGCCAACTTACAAACTGACACACTAGTTTTATAAGAGGCCAATAAGATCATCTAATACAAGAGTTTACATTTCTTCTCTATATTTATATTAATATCAATTTTAAATGACATTTCACAAATGATGTTCCAATCTTAACTAAGTGCTCATATGTCTGTGTAAGAGATCAGACAAATTTAGACTTGAATTAGGTGTTGACAAATATTACTTGTGAAAATCAGATTCTCACCTTTGATTTGAACAGCCACATGCGAACACTAAATCAAGATTTTAATAGAAGAGCTAAAGAACAAAATGTCCTGCATGGATCTGAATTGGTAGGTCGAATTATCAATATCATTAGGGAATGTGCATGTGAGCATCTGAAAGTGAGAGGAAACCTGTATATAAAAATACTAATAAAACTAGAAAAATGAAAAGCTCCACTTATATTCTGTACTTCCCAAATAACACCAAATTGTGGAAATTGCATAGAATGACTTTAGAATGACCTTTGATTCTGTGAAAAATGCACCCCTGTGACTATTGTGAGAGAACAGCAAATTAAACATCCTCTGCATGGGTGGAAAAAGAATGATTGTTCTGTGGTTTTCTGAGAATTCACAGCAAAGTTCTATCATTTATGCAAGTGATATATCTTAAAAAGATTAAAAGTAAAACTAAAAGACATGTTGGTAAATATTAAAAGATGAAACAATAGTAATGATTTTAATATAGGATCTATAAATTTCATGACAAAAACTACTAAATGAGGAAAAAAAGAAAACTATGATATAGAACTCTTCACCAAAATCAGTATTTTGTGTTAAAGTAACACTTTTCATAAAGGACAAATGACAGGAGTAATAGATATATTTTGCTAAAAGCAGGAGACTTTATTACTCATTTCTTAGATGTAAGTTTATCTCATGGTGGAAAAAATCTAGTGACAGCTATAAAACTCATATGATGAAATAGAAATTATAACCAAATATTAAATGTTATAATAGAGTAAAAAAAAAACTCACTTTCAAGCTCTTATTTTCACATCTGTAAAACTTTCATCCACCCTTATTCTAGGGTAAAATGAATATTTATAAAGGAGACAATATGTTCTATTGCAAAGAAATTCTTAGTTAATAAATATTTGAAAATATTATAATCAATTAACTAAAATATGGTAAAAGTTCATAGAAAAGCAAAAAGTCATTCTGTATAGAAAATTATTACTGTAAAATTCTGAATGAATAGATAAATAAAAGAAAGTTTATAAATTGTCAGAATTTAATGGATAGAATCTAATGTTCAGGGAAATGTTCATAATATTAAATAAGATGTTATATAGATATTGAAAGTAAGTGAGTTAAATGTATAACACTAAAATCAAGATGAATATGACTGAAATAATTTATATAAAAAGAAGATAACTAAAGAAGTAAAAATATGTACCAAAGAGTTTCTTAAAAGTAGAAATTAGTAACAAATTCAAAAGTAATCTTTTTTAAAAAATGGAAAAAAATATACAAACAACTAGTAAACCTACCTTTTTTTGCCATAAAGAAAATTATGTAAGAAATTGAGACGATGAAACAACAATTTTTGGAAAACATAAAGTAATTATTTTGTAAAATATTTTGCAAATAAGTTTAATTGTCACAAAACATCTACAAGCAAATGCTCTCACAACATGGATCATAATATTTCACAGAGAAATTTTGTTAACACCCTGGTATATAAAACTATTGAGCAATCTTATATTCTTGGAAATATTTCCAGAGCAAATAAAAAGAAAGATAAAATCCAAGTTCATTTTGATGAGCTGAGGATAAAACTGACACAAATAACTAGAAATGGTCATTAAAGCACACAACAGATAACATAATTTATAAATAGCAATACAAAATCATCAAAAACATGTCATATGTTGCGTATCGAATTTGGTGCATTTTAAAACAGTCAAGTACCAAGTTATGATTCTATTTACAATGAAGGATAAGATCACATATTGAAAATGGAAAGAAAAAGCAAATTTTATATCATCAAATTTATAAATAAGTGCTCATTTTGAACAAATAGATTTCAGCAGGTGGCTTGACTTTTGTTCCAACAGTAATATTTAACATTAAATACATCAAATTTCTTTATCTTAAAGTGCAGTATAATGTATTCTTTTTTAAAAATCTGAACACCAGAGAAACTATTTGGTATTTACACATGTTCATCCTATTTATTTCACTTACTAAAAGTGCAAAAAAGTTCAAATTGTATAACTCATCATGTGATGTAGGAAGAAAAGGGCTAAAGGAGTAGGGGAAGTGGGAAGGGTAGGGGAAAGGAAAGAAAAAATACGAGAAAATGAAAAAATGGAAATAAAGTCTTTGTAAATAGGGAAGGGTCAGGGGTGAAGGGAAGCTAAGGGAATGAGGAAAAAACAAGATCCAAGATACATTGTGTAAAGGTACAAGATCCCAATGATGAATGGAACTGTACTGTGTATCTAAAAAGTGCTAATAAACTTAATTTTAAAAATGAGAAAATAAATCACAAAAATATTTTAAAAAATCAGTCATTTTTTTGTTCCCTGGAACTAATCATGCCAATTATAAATTTTAAATGGAAAAAAAATCATCAAGTAAAATTTACTAGGCAATCCTTCCAAAAGTGTAAGCAAGACTGAGAACATTTTACTATATATGTACATGTGTTATAGAGTTAATGATTAAAGATCTATCTATCTACTATCTACCTATCTACGAATAAGCAGATAAATAGAAGAGAAAGCATCCATAAAATAATAAATACATCTTGGATTTAGCAGTATGTAAGATTGGTTTATGAATGCACAAGGAAATTATAGACTTAAAAAAATAACACTGTGACACCACAAACAGCCATCTGAAAAAAGAGTCATGGCCATGGATCTAGCTCAGTGGTTCTGCCACTTACCTTGCAATCCTAAAGATCGGAGATCTATCCCCAGTACCAAAAAATAAATATAAAATAAAATAATAAAGTATATGGTTGTATACTAGAATAAATTCCAAACATATTAGAGACATAAACCTTTAGTGAAATAAGCCCAGTCAAGTCCAATGAAAAAAAAAAAGAAAATACTAATCAAGTGCTTTTAACTAATAAATCAACATCTAATGAAATTAATTAAATCAGATAACATGATATTTTTAGCTAACAAAAACATTGTAAATAAAACAAATTATACATTGGTTAAATATATTTAAACTTATAAAACAACCAATGTGTTTATTCCTCTAAAATTTCAAGAGCTCTTGAAAATGAAAGAAAGTCAGACAAAAAAAAAAGAGAAAAAAGAGAAGAAAAGAATTCAAGTAAGAATAGATAAAATAATCCTTTTCATTTTGAAAAGCTATTTAATATGAGATATAGTATGAGAAATACCAATTTAAATATATGTTACTTCATTATTATGAAATTTTTAAAACTTTAAAATTTTGACAACCTGAGCAAAACTCTCTGAAAGCCAGGAGTCTCCGGCCATATTGCTGGTGAGATAACAAAATGGTAGAAACAGAGGGAAACTTGGCAATCACTTGTAGTGACTGACTTGGCAGTCCTACTTTTAAGAATATTTTACAGTATATACTTTTAATCTTTTAAAGATATACTGGATAAAATGTGCAAACGTTTTCTAG